TAAGATTTTAAAAACAAGTTTAAAAATCACAATATTATTAAATAGTTATGAAATTCACTGAAATTTTTTCTTTTTAAAACTTAATTAAATCAAATATATGATGGTTAATTGTTACTCAAATGTATGATGGTTAATTGTTACTTAAATGTATGATGGTAATTGTTACTTAAATGTATGATGGTTAATTGTTACTTAAATGTATGATGGTTAATTGTTACTTAAATGTATGATGGTTAATTGTTACTTAAATGTATGATGGTTAATTGTTACTTAAATGTATGATGGTTAATTGTTACTTAAATGTATGATGGTTAATTGTTTACTTAAATGTATGATGGTTAATTGTTACTTAAATGTATGATGGTTAATTGTTACTCAAATGTATGATGGTTTATTGTTACTTAAATGTATGATGGTTAATTGTTACTTAAATGTATGATGGTTAATTGTTACTCAAATGTATGATGGTTAATTGCAGTGAATATAAAGTGAAAAGAATTGCATAAAATTTTTAATTATTTAATTTTTCTTCTGTTAGGTTGTATTAAAAGAAAAATTTGCTGATACTGTAATCATTGCTACATTAGATGATTTGCATTATGAGCCGTGTCTTGCATTTGCCAATCTAGGCTACCACATCCTTTGTGAAAAACCTATGGCTCCCACTGAAGAAGAGTGTGAAAAAATGGTAGAAGCAGCAAAACAAAACAACATAATACTTGCTATAGGCCATGTTATGCGTTATACCAACCATTACATGACTGTAAAGAAACTCATTGATGATGGATCAATAGGTGAATATTTAATGTCTTATTTATATTAAGAGTTTTTCTGTGCTGAGGCTAAATGTAATTTGCAGCTCAGTCATGGAATTTTATTATTCGTCTTAGTGTTGATTGATAGTTACAACCTGATTGGTTGTTAGATTAAAAGTGCGATACCTAAGATTACTTGAAAAATGCATTTTCTAGTTCAGTAGATTGAATCTTCAATTAAATGAACAAAATCAGTTTATTATATTGTTGTTATATAATAGTAATAACAACTTAAAAAATTAAAAGGTTTCAAAATAAACGTTTAATTCAAGATATTTTATATTTTGATAAAATCAGTAAATGAAAATTATTCACTTGATGAAGAGGCATTAGAAGCTCTGGTCAATTTTTTAAATCTGTTTTTGACTATTGAATTAAATGATTTATTGCACCAATTATGAGTGATTTTGCATGAGTGAGGTAATCATTACTAATGAATTTAATGGATTTCATTAGTGTGGCTGATGCAGTAACTGATGGTAATAGATAGAAAAAATTTATTCTGGATGAATAATGTTCATAAACAACTAGTTACAAAGAATGAATGCTTGAAAGTTACAAAGAATGAATGAATAAAAGTTAGAAAGAGTGCAGAGAAGGGTATCCTAAAAACAGTTATAGGTTATGTATAATAAATCATAAATAATATAATTATGTATGTATGTATGTATGTATGTATGTATGTGTGTGTGTATGTATGTATGTATGTATGTATGTATGTATGTATGTATGTATATATATATATATATATAATATATATATATATATAATATATATATATATATATATATTATAAAAGCTTATAGTTCTGAAAAAGGATAAACTTTGTCTCTCAATAATATAAATATCTTTATAATTTTCAGTGTGCCAATGCTTTGAAATCATTTTTATAATTACCTATTTTAAATGTATCACTTATTTAAACATGTCTAAAACATTTTTTGTAAGTGTGCAAATAATTTTAAAAATTTCTTTAGTTCAGTATTCAATAGATTATTGTCCATCGTTATGGTTTTGTTAAAATCCTGGTTTAGTGCACCCCTAATTTAACGCAAAATGGCTTTAAACTTGATTTATTTTAGTATAATGTAAAGTATAAGAAAAATGGTTAGTATAATGTTGAACACTATTTTTGTATTTCAACATGTTTACAAAGAAGAAAAAACTGATTTTTTTTCCCCAAAAATTGTTATTATTAAAAAATCTTACAAAAATTGTTATATATTTAGATTTATATGTTAGATTTTATATATAGTTTCACATAAAATTTACAACTAATATTTATAAGTTGCTATGTATATATTAATTTTCAAATTTTCTGTGTGTGTGGTGTGATTTTTTTAAGCCTTTTTAAGGAGAGTTGATTGGTATTCAGCACCTAGAGCCAGTTGGTTGGTGGCATTTTGCTCATTCCTTTGTACGTGGTAATTGGAGAAAAACCGTGTGTGATATTGGATCATTAATGACAAAATCTTGTCATGACCTTGATCTGATTAAATTTTTTTTTGGAAGTGCAAAGTGCACCAAAATTCAGTCATTTGGCAGTCTAGTTCATTTTACATCTACTAAAAAACCTCTCGAAGCTAGCGATAGATGCTTAGACTGTAGCATCGAAAAGGTTTGTCCATACTCAGCAGTAAGGCAGTATTTGGGTCCTGTTAAACAAGGTTTTCCAGATACGTTTTGTCACGTTGTATGTGACATACCTGATATAGAAAACATGACTGAAGCATTACGCACCGGACCATATGGGCGGTGTGTTTATAATTCCGACAACAATGTGTGTGATTACCAAGTTGTTAACATGGAGTTTGAAGGGAACAAATATGCATCATTTACAATGTCTGCTTTTACTAAAGATGTTTGCTCAAGAAAAATCACTATAATGGGTTCGAAAGGTCGCATTATTTGTGATGGTAATAATTTTGAACTTTTTCAGTTTGATACTATGAAAACATCAATATTCAAATCTCGGCGACCCAAAGAAGAAACAAGTATGTCTGGTCATGGATTTGCTGATTATTACCTAATGAAATCATTCGTAAAATCTGTAGCCTCTAATAACAAAGATTTGGTGAAATCCGGACCCGAAGATAGTCTAAGGGGACATCGACTTGTTTTTGCAGCGGAAAGATCAAGATTATTGGGCGGTGAAATGTTAAAGGTGGACATCTAAAAATAACTTTAAAAGATGAAATTAATATCTAAAAAGTTCATATTTTTTAAGATGAAGTTTTGAAATTAGTACATAATTATATTTTCTTTGTTCTGAAATGAGCTGGCTGACTTTGTACCCAAAATGAGCGGGCTGTAAATTTGAAATAATTACAACTTTTAAACTCTCAAGTATATTTTGATAAAATTTTAAACTTGTCAATATACTTTATTTTTTTCAATGCTGTTATAGTTAGAACTTTTAAACTCTCAAGTATATTTTAACAAAATTTTTAACTTGTCAATAGACTTTTTTTTTGCAATGTTATTTCGGTGTTTTAGATAATATTAATATCAGATAATATTAGAATTTATTCCGGTATTTAATTGTTTCCAATGGTTTTTTAATGTTGTTTGATAATATTCTAGTAGTATTTTTGACGTTA